TCTAAAAGCACACTCTTGAAAAAAAAAATAAAAGCACACTCTTGGATCTCAATAGCATTAAAAATATTTTTATAATTAATCAGAAATATAACAAAGAAGTCGTTAAAGGAATGTGTGCTGAAAAAGTTCATGAAAATTTTATAGCTATTTTTCTTGACTCCAGAGGCACAGCTCCTGTGGCCACATAATCGCTTCTGTTAGATGATAATTAGATGACACATGAGGGTTTGTTTTTTGTGTTTTTTTGTTTTTTTGAGTAACTGGCAGTATAAAAGAGCACAAACTAGATGTTGAGATCTACAGATAACTAAGAAGGGCTTAATATGATCCATAAATGATAAAGAATAGGATAAGATACAACAAAGAAGATACTTAACAAAAAAGGTGGTAACATTTAAACTTTATTTGCCTGAAAATCATCTTATAGAAATATGGGGGGAAATGGGCTTTGAACAGATATGGACCTGGGGTCGAACTCCAGTTCTGCCTCCTCCTAGATGTACATTGTTGGGCAAATTACCTGACTAGCCTCAGTTTCCACATCTGTAAAATGGGTCACAGGGATGGTATGAGAATTAGTATGTAAAGTGGCATGTGGTAGGTAGTTGCTATAAATTGTAGTTATTAGTATATTGGGAAAAGATTTACTTTTGACTTAAAAATCCTATCATATTTTCAAGAAGAAGTAAAGTTATCAGACTTTTTCATCTAAAAGTTTTACAGAGATTTTTTTTTTCCTAATTCATCTACCACATGACAGAAATAGCACTGTAAGCTTAACTTGGCTAAGTCTGCTTCATTCATCTGTCAACAAGATTCTAGAGTTGACAATTGTTAAAGGTGTATGGGACAGAACAGGCTGCACGACCGTGTCGTGTTTCACACCTCAGAGGGCTCTATGCTACCAACAATAACAGCGTGTCTGTCAGTCAAGCATAATTGATAGACCGGTGCAAATAAAACAGCCGCTTAGAACAAGGTTTTCTGGATCTTTTCTGGCTACAATTATAGGACTTGCTTGATTCTGTGACCTGTGAATATGAGAGTGACACTTCCCTTTGGGACAAAAAGACAGAAAAACCACATCCCCTATTGACTCTGAAAAAGATCAAAACGAGGTGCAAAATTTGCTCCATTTGAAAACCCTGAAATCATTTTGTAAATTTTGATCAAACTCTGCTCTTATTGAGATATGGATTTATTTTTAGGATATCCACAATAGAAAGTACAATTTGATAATCATGTAACACAAAGGTCAGGGAAATCATTGTAGCAAATACAGTTGTGGTTCCTGAGCCAGATGTTCAAAATGCCCCATGGAGTCCTTTAGGATAATAGTCTAATACATGTTACCTTTATAAAAAGGAAAATAGAAAAAGTATCTGATATTCCCCAAAACCAAATTAAATACATTATCATAAAACTGTTCTATTACAGCTATTTATAGCAGAAACTCCTATGGTAGTAGTACCTTTTTGTTGAAATGGATAAGGATGAGAAATAAGCTGAATTATATTATATGTAGGATCTAATTCAAATTATATTTCAAGTTTTCAAGTTTTAAAGATCATTTAGATCTCAATATGCAAGAATACAGAAACTGACAAAAGAAACACATATATCCACAAGTCATTCCAGTGGAATATATTCAAGTTTTCCAAAATATGTTCGTAAAGATGTAAATGTAAAGTTGCTAAATTCAATTTTATCATTAAGTATAGTTTTGCTTTTCTTTTTCTGATTTTTAATCTTACTTGAGAGTATTACTTCAGGAGGGCAATGAAGAAAAGATGACTCTTAGTGACAATGAGAGACAATGAGATCTGCCTTTATCCCCGGTGGCAGCTGATTTTTCATTTGTTTGTTTTAAAGAGCGCCCTAATGTCATCTTTTGCACTATTGGAGCACATTTCACAACAAAGTGAAAGCGAATGACAATAAAATACACATCAGGAGAGCAGTTACACTTCATAATCTTTCTGTACACATGAAGCCATAGCATCGTGGAAGCTCAGGGTCAGAAGGGACTTTGGGGGACTGACTTGATGTGGTTCCATGCCAAGGACTGCTCGCTGGAATCCAGACTAGTTAACCTCCCAGACTACCTTGGTGCTTTACATTTAGAGTACAGAACAGAGGCAAGGGAAACTGCGATTAAAATGGCAACGTATGCCTTGGTATTTTATCCAATTTCTTTTTTGTGGAGATACTTGAATAATTTTTTAAAAGACACAAAATTAGGACAAAAAATTTCTCTGAAAATAAAATCACACAAACTGTCAGTTTCAGTTCAGGGAAAGAAGTGTAAACATATAAATAGTTAACTCTTGAACAAGTTGACCCTTGAACTGCATAGGTCCACTTGTATGTAGATTTTCTTCTGCCTCTTCCTGCTGCCCTCCCATAGCAAGACCAACTTCTCTTCCACCTTCTCCTCCTACTCAGTCTACTTAATTGAAAACAATGAGGATGAAAACCTTTATGATGATACACTTTCATTTAATGAACAGTAAACATTTTCTCTTCCTTATGATTTTCTTAGTAACATTTTCTTTTCTCTAGCTTACTTTATTGTAAGAACACAGTATATAACACATATAACATACAAGATATCTGTTAATCAATTGCTTATGTTATCAATAAGGTCACCAGTAGTCTATTTGTAGTAAAGTTTTTAGGAAGTCAAAAGTTATACATGGACTTTTTACTGAGCAGGGGTTGGTACCCCAACCCGCACATCACTCAAGGGTCAACTGCACATAAAATTAAAGTGATGATAAAAATAGGAAGAGTGTGTTCACTAGAAATTAAAATGGTCAGTAATTGGGTATTTCCTCTAAATTACTAAATTATTGATAAATTTATCATAATAATGCCACTGTTCATTAATGTTTATTCAGATTCAAGAAGTACACTAGAAATTTGTTATAATGCCACCTGCTCTAAAGCAAAACTTGATGGAAGGCAGATACTTCTCAGAAATCACATATGGAGGTTGAGAAATTAGAGCCTCAAGAGGATTTCATTATATTTTACCCATTAAGGTGCCCATAATATTGAGTCCTAAGTCCTACAGTAAAACTTTATTGTATGAATAAAGACAGCATAAGCAATAGGATTTTTTCTCTTTTTCACAATTAATGATTGTTCATCTTATCAAATGTGAACAATTTGTATTACCTTTTAGTCAGTATGAAAACTCCTGATTATACCTCATTTCTTAGATTTAATGTAGTTTGCTAAACACGTTATAACTTTCTTAAGACAGAGCCAAGGTGGGGCGATATTAATGCTTATTTTATAAATTAGCCATTTACATTTTTTGTTCACGCTTTTGTTATATGTAATTATTTATATGAAGAAACATGATTTGACCCATGGCCTGCCAAACCTGTATAACAATGGTCCATGTTATAACAAAATTATAATTCATAAGGAAGAGGGCTGAAGTGGTAATAGATTTGAAATTAAGCATATCTAATTAGTTTCAACTTTGCAAACCCTCTGGCTGTGCAACCTTTGGTATTTAACCTCTCTGGGCCTCAGTTTCTTCACTGAACAATGGGAATGGTAACATTGGGAGATTGTGTGAGAACAAAATGAAATTATGCATGTAAAGTGCCTACAATATTGCCTGCCATATGCTAGGGGAGTAGTAATGCTAGTACTCGTTTCTTCATATATAATAAGAAAAGGGAGAACAACTGAAATGTTTAAGGGTAGAGAATTGAGACTCACAGGTGGCTCTAAGAAAGTGAGAGCTATATGGTTCTTTGAATTTTCAAGGAGCCAAAGAGGAAATATTAGAATCCTGAGCATCATAATGAGGTAGAAATGAGATTTAACTGCCTCTTGGCATGGCTAATACATATTTCACAAAAAGAAGCCTTGAATGTTCTACTCTGGCCATAACCTCTGAAATTTCCCCTGCGTAGGTAGTAGTGGTTTGTTACTTAACATGAAGAGGCTTACATATGAAGCCAGAGAGTAAAGGCTCCTAGACCTGGGGCATGCCATCTGCCTAGCATTAAGCAAGAGCTGAAAGTCAGTTACAGAAGCAAAGTCATTTCTGATATGATTTATGTTCCATCCTCGAACGTGGCAGGAAGACTGCAAAAGATATTTGGAAGCCAATGCTTCCTCTGAATAAAGCAACCCAGTATATACTAAGCCTCTCTCCTTGGACCACGCTGGCCTGTTAGATAAGTTGCCAAAGTGGAGTCTGTGAAGCCTGGAGCAAACTGGCTATCTGGGATGAGAAAATATCCTGAGGCCAATGATCATCGCTACTGTAAATGCACAGTGCACCGTATAAACACTGGGGTCAGACAACAGATATCCAGGATATTACTCAAAAACACATCTAGCTCAAAGCTGACAAGATAATCTGTTCCTGTGAGCGCAAAGCAGACTGGAATGCTGCAGCTATGACCTACTCAAGGGAAGAAAAAAGAAAGTGAAGCTCTCCAAGGGCCCCATCTCAGGCTCTCTATGCAGGCAAAACTCCAGCAGACTTCAAAGCGAGTGCTGCCTAAGGAGGGGCACTGCCCCAAGCCCACAGGGGGATCATTTCCATGATCAGGTTGCCATCTACATTTGGTGGACTGGCAAATGCAAATATTTCAGATACAAGTTTAAACAGATGAAAAAAGAAGTGTGAAATAACTTGGAGATTTTCTTGCAAAAGAAACCTCAGAATTCCAGGAAAAGCATTTAAAATCAGAAGCTTCATAAGTTATTCAAAAGTCCCACGAGGGTAATTGATGTGGGATTGTATAAAAAATAAATGTTTTTTTGAATTGATACATATTGTACTCCAACATATCACATGATCACAAAATTGTGTACTTAAAAAAATAATTTTCCAAATTTAAGCACTCTTAAGAGGTCAGTAATATTTCTATAATTGAAGTATAGACTATATTTTGATGTTTTAACAAAGTTTTAACATACGTGATCCTGATTAATGCAGAAGAGCCAAAATGCACCGATATACTTACAGGAGGACCTAAGGGAGGGGGGAGGGGGAGAGATAAGAAAAAGGGAGAGATGAATTAGTGAATATGAAAAAGTTAAGATTAAATAAAAGATTGGAACAACATTATAATCATCAGCATTATACATGGGACATGGAAGATATTTAGAATTCAGTGATTCTTAATCTTTTATTTAGCACATGGAGCCTTTGAGATCATCTCAGAAACATGCATTTACACCTGCACACAAAATCTTACATAAAATTTCAAGGAATTTTCAGATTCCCTGAGGGCTATCTAGGGATTACTGAGAGGTTCATGTATGTTTAGTAAAGACTGTCTAATTTATCAAAGTTTAGATAAAATATGAATTAGGAGGATCTTTCATATTGTATGGTAGATCAGTCATAGAGAATTGATATATAACTTCCTGGGTTTGCTAAGACAGCCAAACAGAAACATACCTATTCTTTGTTCTAAGAATGTATTTTGCACAACAGTACTGTAAATAAATACATGAAAGACTAAGTTTGGTGCTTATAGAGATTTCTTTAAAACTATGTTTTCTCATCAAAATAGGCAAAGTCTAGGAAAATTTCAATATTTCACACACCATATACTCAATTAAAACACCAGTTCCAGGCCGGACTCGGTGGCTCACGCCTGTAATCCTAGCATTCTGGGAGGCCGAGGCAGGTGGATAGCTCGAGGTCAGGAGTTCGAAACCAGCCTGAGCAAGAGCAAGACCCCGTCTCTACTATAAATAGAAAGAAATTAATTGGCCAACTAACATATATATAGAAAAAATTAGCCGGGCATGGTGGTGCATGCCTGTAGTCCCAGCTACTCAGGAGGCTGAGGCAGCAGGATTGCTTGAGCCCAGGAGTGTGAGGTTGCTGTGAGCTAGGCTGATGCCATGGCACCCACTCTAGGCTGGGCAACAAAGTGAGACCCTGTCTCAAAAAAAACCAAACAACAACAACAACAAAAAACATACCAGTTCCAAGTAGCAAGGAAGTTGGAAACTGACTTTTATATTTTCTATAAAACTTTGCATAAGCACAAAATTTTCACTTTTCCTCAAATCCTTTTTTGACACGAAGATCATTTTCATGATTATCTGACTCCACTAATGTTTTACCATTTCCTTTTCCTCAAAACAAATTTATAAAGCATTCCCTATTATAAAATTTTGCACTTGGTGAAACCCATACAAGTTTCCAATTATTTAGATTCCACAAGGTTTAAAGATAGCTTTTGAGAATACTCTTTTAAAAATTAAGCAGATACTTTACTCAAATTAATGAATTTCAATAAACCTTTTTTATTTTGACATCTTTTTCAATGCAGAAGAGGAAATGAGACCAAAAAAGCCACATGGATCTGCTATCTGTTGTTCTTGACAGGTTAGTGCTTCTACTGTTTCAATACTTAGTAACTGATTATTTTTAATACTGATAAATACTTATAAGAAATACTGGAAAATAACATTTCACAGCATCCTAAAGTCAAGCCTTAAATTACCTTATCTTGCAAGAAAGAACTGATGGCCTGCTAAGACCTCATGTGGTTGTTTATAGTTTTGGAATCTTAAATTTTATTAAACAAGTAACACAGTAAGTGAACTCACTTATACAGATTACCTTGGTTTAAAGAAAATTTTTTTATTTGACTTTTCTGTTTGACTTTGCAATAGAGGTTTGGCCTGAAAGCAAAAATTTACTGGGAGTCAGGACAACTGGTTCTGTTTCAAGTTCTGCTTATAAACAATCGCACAGCCTTGGCGATATCACCTGACTGCTCTGGGCCTCCATTTCCTCGACTACAAAATGAAAACCCGGGATTGATTACTAAGGCTCCTGTCACCACTAAAATTCCACGGTTATATGAGAAGGATAAGAGTTCCCAAATTTTGGAAAGAATGAGAGTAAAAGCATGACAGAAGTGTGCCAGTTGGATAAAATAATAATAAAGCTCGCCAAGACACGTGGCCCGGTGTCCCAAGGCAGATGTTTGCGCAGAGCACCCATGTTTATTGCCCACCTACAGAGAGGAAAACATGGGGGTGCTGTCCTGGATGGAGCTAAGAAACCCTCCGTTGTGCATGGAAAGGGCAGACTTAACCTAACCCAGTAAATAAGCCAAAATTGGGTGCCAATGATTCCTAACTGTAATTAACAATAGTTTGCAACCTTCTCCTTCTTACACTTTGATGGAAGTGAGGAGAAGATAAACAAGAATTCTAGGTCTAGCAGAGAAGATTTAAAGACACACACTACCTCCAACAAGACAATGTTATCATGAATTAGGAGGAACAGATGCAGGAACCCAACCAAAACATGAACCACACAGAGCAGCTGAAAGAGACACTTACCAGATTCTCCTCTTCGGCCCCTCTTACCTCTTTTCCCCGGAGGGCCTGAAATACAAAGGATAAAGTTTTCAGTGTCGTTTTAACCTTTTTTTCTGGTTCCAAAATGGCTAGTAAATAATTTCCATATATTTTCTCACTGTTTTAAACTACCAACTTCAAGAAAGGGGCCAGATATTTGTAAAGGTCAGTATTGTCTTAGTGTTTCAGGAAAACTCTTAAAGTGTCACTTAATTATCAAAGCTGCTCTAGATATCTAATCATCTAGTGCTACTTAAGAACACTAATGATTCAGAATTGTTTATCCTGCTCAGATATCATCAATAAAGAAAAGTTTTGCTAAGAAAATTCGTGGTGTTGAGATTTTATGTTTCTTAGCAATACTTTGTTTCTGAAGGTTTTGGTATAATAATTAAAAGTACTAAGTTGAAACGGCTATAGTTTCTCTTCATTCAGGTCCATCATGATTTCTCTGAAAATATTTAGTTAGCAGTTAGTTAAATGTCTATATTACTAATGCAAATAATCCTTACAGATATTTTTATTTTATTAAATGTGAATATTTGGACTTTCTCTAATTAAGAACCACTTGAATAAAATCACAATCCTTTTAATTGGACAGTGTTCAGGTAGTAACTATATGTCTGATTTTTCTATAGGGACTGGATCATTATTGTCATTGAACAAATAGCCTTTATGACGATCTCATTTTAAAAGTGGAGAAAAACTTTTTTTTTTCTGAGTGAGTTGCCAGTAAAGACCACCAAGCTAGTATGTATCCGACTTAGCACAAGGTTCTAGACTTTCCTGGCTTTCAAGCCATTATTCTCAATTATATAATTTCTGCCCTCATTTCCGTGGGTAGGAATAGCTCCCACTGAATTATGGTTCCGGCCAATAGAAGAGAATAACTAGCCCACAATGAAAATTGAAGTCTTACAATATTTGCTAGGAGGAAAAGGCCAAGGAAAATAGTGAACTGTTTGGTTTTAAAGAATGAGCTGCTAAGTAGGACTGATGACTTCCAAACTCTAGAAAGTTCAAGACAAAAGCAACACAGGTCTTAGTATCCAGCTGACTTTCAACATGATCTGAGCTACTACCTTCCACATGGAAATGCTATCATGAGGAGTAAAAAAAAAAAAAATCAGTGATGCAGTTAGTTTCCTCCTAAACCCTTGCACAGAATAAGTCTGACCATCTGTGTTTTGTAGGAGGTTAAAAAACAAGCAATAAAATCAATTGAAAATATTTTAAAAAGCAACTTTGCAGCAAGGTCCAAAACTGTCAATAAAAAATTCAGATTTCTTATTGTATTCTGGAATAAAGAAATGTTTTCATCATATTCAAGGTATTTTGGGCCAGATATAGAGCAGTAGGAGGATATTATAAATAAATAAACCAAGGGAGACACTAATAGGTATGAAAAATATACATTTGTACACTAGCTCAAACACACATCAACACACACACACACACATATTGATATATTCTGATATATGCAACTTCCTTAAGACTAGGAATTATATTTTTTCTATTACAACACCACTTAAAATAAGAACTATTTACCAATTATATATTTATGAAGCCTGTAGTTCACCAGTAGGGGTTCACCCATTAGAAGTCGCTGTTGATGAGATCATAGATGAGAATTTTCCAATATTGAATATAGAAGTTCTAAGGTTGAACTTATACTTCAAGTAGCAAGTAAAAATAATTCACATTAAACACATGGAAGGAGAAACTCAGGAATATTCAAGGATAAAGAGAAAATGTCAAAAACTACCAGAGGGAAAATAACACAGTGGAAGGTATTCTGACTGTTGTCTCATCAACAACAAAGGTGCCAGAAGGGCCCAGTCCTGATATTTATATCTCAGAAGCCTATAATTATTATTTATTTATTGGAAATTAGGATATTTGCCATTTTACCCTTGAAAAATGTTTCTATTAAACAAGAAAATTTATCAAGGAAAAACAATAGATTGCACAAATGTTTTAAAAAAAAACTTAAAAATATTTAAAAGAGATTATGAAAAATGACTAAAGAAGCAAGGATATCTTTGGAAGAAAGCAAGAAACGAAGTAAGAATATTTCTGAACATGTCTGCAAGCTTAAAGAAATGAATCAAATGCCATGGAAAATCTGCTTGTTATATGGAGAATTGAAGAAGAACAGAATGCAAGGAAATGGAAAAGACAGTTGGCAAGACAGATGTCTATTGAATATAGCACGGTTTTACAAAGAATATCATAATATTTGAGGGAGAAGATGAGACTAAACTAAGTTATGAGAAGATGGGAATCTAAACTCTACTGAATTTACAAAGCAAATACTGACTTTAAGAAAGCATGTTGTAATTCTTACAGGAAACAAGACTACAATGTGGCGGTGGCGCGGTGGCTCACGCCTGTAATCCTAGCATGCTGGGAGGCCTAGCCGGGCGGATTGCTCAAGTCAGGAGTTCGAAACCAGCCTGAGCAAGAGCAAGACCCCGTCTCTACTATAAATAGAAAGAAATTAATTGGCTAACTAATATATATAGAAAAAATTAGCCGGGCATGGTGACACATGCCTGTAATCCCAGCTACTCGGAAGGCTGAGGCAGCAGGATTGCCTGAGCCCAGGAGTTTGAGGTTGCTGTGAGCTAGGCTGACGCCACGGCACTCACTCTAGCCTGGGCAACAAAGCGAGACTCTGTCTCAAAAAAAAAAAGACTACAATGAGCATTGCACTGAGCTCAGTGAACTACTAAATTATACAAAACTCTCAGAAAGACATAAAGATCTTACCTATAAAGGGAATAAATTGATTTTTGAAGAAGTCTACTGGACAGCTAACATTATTTGATCTTGCTTCTGAATTTAAGGACAAAATAATAATAATAAATGAAATGGATGGGATGGATTTGACAAAAGACAGCTGGCAGATCACCAGAGTGAGAAGATAAAAAATAAGAAAAGACAAATGATAGATATTTTCCAGACAAAACTGACATTAACAATAGTTGAAAAGATAGTGACCATTCCCATTGTGAACTGAGTAATGAAGTGTCAGCCAGGCATGAGCTATATGAACAAATACAGAAGCTGGAACATGATTTTTATCCACTGAATTTAACCAGATCCTTGCAACAGAAATTCTCAGTGAAGTCTGTCGCCAGAAAGACATGACTCTGCAAAAGAAACTGGTTCAAGAATATGAAAGGGAAAAGAAAAGGCAGACACTATTAGTGACAGAGGAAATGAAAACTTATAAACAAAGAATTCATTCAATGAACAAAGAATTGCAGAAAACAGAAACTTCAAAACTAGATTGTTCTTTATGATTTGAAAATTAATGACAATTGGTACTGTTCCTGCTTCAGAATGAGTTCTTGCTAACTTTGCAAAGAGATGATGTAAACCGTCAGCACGAGATAGAAATCAGCCATAATGGTAACGCTTTAAAGACTAGTAACTTAAACCCAATTGCAGACCACCCCAGTTCATCAAATAACATCATAGCAAGGCCTCTTAAACCAAGCCAGTTTCTTTGGTCCATAACTAGGGTGTTTGAACACCCTACTCCTCACTAATGATACTCAGCTGTGATAAGGTTCTTCTCTAAGGTTAGATGGGTGCTTAAAATTAAACACATGCCTATCTATGGGCCTTCACATGGTCTTGAGGATGGGTGGTTATTGGACGTGGCTGGATGCCCTTACCTGATTCATCACATGAATTACCAAAACCTGTCAATTCTGCTCCTGTTACTTGAATCTGTTTACTTTTCTCTACTATTAGTATTTCAAGGCTGAGCTCAAACATAACCTTTCTAGGGATTTTTCACAGGTATTTTATTTGTATTTTGAAATAGTTTTACTTCTTATAAACATTTATAATTAAACACAATAAGCATTTAGAGAAAAGTTTCAGAATTCATAATTGGGTGGATACTTTGGTTTGGTTTTGAATTCTTGCTTTCTATTTCAATACACATTTCTGGCTATGTCTGCTTTTAGGAGGGCAGGTATCATGTGGATAGAAAGCAAAGCGCAGGCTCATGCCCTGGGTGATTGTGCTTTGGTGTGTTGCCATGAAAACATAAGAATAGAGAGAAATGTAGCCATCTTATTACCAGAATGACTTAATGGTCACTAATTACACAGATCATTAGAGAATTAATTCCTGATTGAATGAAGGAGACAATGAGTGTATATAAAGACACATACTAATTGCTCAATAAATGTTGGCTCCCTCTTTTGCTTTATTTATATTTTATTTTTAGTCAATAGTGATTATAATATATTTGAGTTTTCTATAAGAAAGCTGAAAATGTATGTGAACAAGATCATGAGAGATTAATATTACCTTTTAATTATAATATTCAAAGAGGCAATTTAATATAATGAAGAGAACATGGAACAGAGAGTTAAAAGACCTGCAGATTTTTTCCTACTGTGTGAATTGAGCTGTCAATTTAACCTCTTTGATTTTAATCTGCTACAATATCTTGTAATTAATACTAAATCCACCACATTTATCTGATTATTCTGAGGATGAAAACTGTAAAGTGCTATTACATATACTAAATGACTGTTTCCTTCATCTTTCATTAATGTGTTGAAGCTTATAAACTATTTCCATGCTCTATTACTGCCATATTCATCAATAAAAATAGTGAGACTTCTAAACAATTTGATGTACCTAAATAAAAAGCTGAAACTCGGACATTTCACCTCCAGAGGCATAGGGATCTTTTAAGTACATTAGAGAAAATATCATAAAATACTTCAAATGACAGTAAATATTCCAAAAAAAACAAACACTCTTATTCCAAATTCTAGGGGCAGAAAAATGGAGATATTAAGGCAAAGGAAAGAGCTGGAAATTGAACCTGTGGTCAGGGAGGGAAGGGTAACAAGTAGCTTGCAGATGCAGTTCTCCTGGCAGACGCATGCTGGGCTGGGGGCTGGGGGAGAAATGCATGCAGGCCAGGCTGCTCCTCCACACCCAGTGATCCCAGGAATAGGTCTCCAACAGCTGCAGCTGGCTCCCGGGAAGGAGAAACCTGTCTGAGCACATAGGAGACAGATCATCCTTTCTGAACCAACCTCCCCCATCCTCCAGCTACGTCCAAATACTAAACCAGGTTTACCTTCAGATCTTCTGGATTAACCTTGCAAGTAGGCACAGATTAATTTCAGAGCCTTGCCCAAAGTCCTCCCACCTGTTTGCTTGCTTAATGCCTAAAATTCCTTCAAGATGGACCAAAGCGTTTCATTCCACAATTAGAAGTAAAAGGCTTAGCCAACAAATATCTAGTAGAAGTAGAATATTAACTAAAATGTATTCTCTCCATACTCACAAAATGTCTGTACTACAACATACCCAGGAGGCCCTACAAGCCAAAGGGTTTACACCTGGACAAGCAGGGCAGCTCCAGTTTGCCATACTGGATTGCAACCCTTTGAAGTAAAAGCTCCTTGGCTAAAACAAGCTTATAAATGATTCACACTGCTGCAAATATAATGTCAAGACCAAGAGATAAAACAACCTGTCCAAGGTCCCACACAGCAGATGCCAGCTTCCTGATTCCAACCCCAGTGCTCTTGGATGCACCTCTCATTTTTGAATTTACATTCCACAGCTGAGGTGCTGGGCACAACCAGCACAAACTTTCCAAAATGCTCCACTTCATCAATGCCTGCCTTGTTTTCTATAATATGATTACTTGGGCAGATGTATTATTAATTCTTGGGACAGTCTCCCACCAGACTGGAAGCTCTTGAGGCTGTGATGCTCTTGTTCATCCTTGTATCTCTAGCAACAGGCGCCAGGCTGATCCCTCGCGGAAACTTTACAGGGATGCTGCCGGTGGGCTGCCTCAGACATGCCCGCAGTATTCCATAACACGTTAGGTTTTTGAAAAATAACTTTTTTATTCAGGAGATTTAATTCTCAAGATGTTTTCAATAGACTTGTTTGTTTTAAACGTCTTTTATGCGTGTGTTTTCGTTTCAAATTTCTGCAAGTTTTTTTGCTTTTTGTTTTTATTTTTGTAGAGATGTGAGCCTCGATACGTTGCTCAGACTGGTCTCAAACTCCTGGGGTCAAGTGATCCTCCTGCCTCAGCCTCTTAAAGTGCTGGGATTACAGGAGTGAGCCACCGCACCTGGCCATCCTCAGGTTTTAATCTCCATGGAATGAAAGTTAATCATAATAAATAACAGGTATGTGCAGAAATTGTGTTCACTGAATGAAGATAAAAAACAACATAGCCCTTGGAAGGTATAAGAATAGAAAAGAACTCCCTTCAGTGGCTAACAAGTGTGGGTACATTAACAGTGTACACACTAAGCCACCTAAAGCCAACTGGGAGGATATATATGCATGTACTGGTTTAAATATACAATGCAATACTGCCTTGGGGGTAGTAGCCAAAACAGTTTAAAAGTCACTGATTTAGAAGAAAATGGGCTAGTTATTCCAGAATACTTCTCATTAGGAGAGTTACAAGCAGCAAGGCATGCCCTTCTGGCAAAGATGTTTTTATCTTTTTCATGAAATACATTGAGAGCAGGACTCTTGTTTTATCTATTACTATATTTTTCCAATTTTAAGAAAGTGAAAATCTTTAAATTGCTATTAAAATGTTTTAAAAAATACAAGTGAATTACAGTAGAATTATGGTGAATCTAATTCTCAACATTGTGTGATCATTAGAATTATCTTTAAATTAGTTGAGTTTCTATTCCTGCAGAGAAACAACAATGGACCAAAATTGCCTTCTAAAACTTCTTCCGAGTCATCTCAATGTAAGTTTAGTTTTAACTGGTGCAAGGTTTAAATGAAGCATTTCAAGTTTATGTAAGAATTAGTTGATATTTATAAATTTTATAACTAGGAAAAACCCATATTTGTGATACAATTGGAGACTCTCACAAGATTATACTGGAAAACTACTGAACTTAAACAATAAAAGAAAGGGATTTCCAAACCAAGTGCAATGAAACATTTTCTGGGCTTTATGCAGATGCTTTGTTTCCAGAAATGGAATTCCAGCAAATGAGGGGTTGTCTTTATTGCTGTTTTTAATATTTAGATAATATAGTAGAATATTCAATAGAAACTGTTCAGGACTACAAATAGCCTGATGTTGCAGCTCATTGACTTTAATGAGGTCTGATGTGGCACAGTTGTTATTTCTATCATTCTTTTCCCACACATAAAGTGTTTCATTATTATGGTACTAGAATGTTTTACCCCATGATCCTACAGGGGATTTATCATGACAGCTTTTTTTATTTGTACTTGTAGAGAAGGGGGCTGTAAGATGTCAGAGAGTAGGGGTTGGGAAATAGGAAAGATGCATTTCTTTGTGAGATTATATTGCTATACAATAAGTGATTATTATCTCTACCATGTAATATATTAACATGAAAAAAACGTTAGTTCCCAAGCTGGCAGAAAAATGTTTTAAATAAGTTTTCCTGATTACATGTTTCTAATGGAATCTAGAGTGGTAGATCTTGTAAAGGTAAAGAAAAATTTTTAACTAACAACAACAAAAAAAATAAGTTCAACAGTTGAATGTAGTTTTCCACATACTCAACAAATAAAATAATGTTAATTTTTAATTTATCAGAGATTGAAACAATCTTCCTCATGGAAAATGAAAAAACAAAAAGTGGGCTAACAGAAACTAGGATTTGTTTTCATTAATGGCTTGGGAACATCCCAAGCTTTTGCCAAATTGCTGGTGGATGAATTAAGCACAACGGCACCACATACACCACTACACACATGTAAATGGCCCAGTTTTTTTTAAGCTGGTGCTAAACTAATGATGTAGCATGCCTATTGCCAAAATTAGCACTCAGTGGTAAAAATAATCATAACAGAACTGGCTTGACACTGAAAATTAGTGATGGAAAAGGAGTAAACACAAAGGCAAGATGAAGCAATCAGAATAAGAGTAGGAGGACTTCAGAGGAAAAGGACCACATGGAAGTCTGGACACAATGAAATAAGTGTCAGGGCCCGAGTATACTAAAGCAATCCGTGCAGAATGATAAATAAGACTGCTGTCCACGGAAGAAGGAAAACATGATGAGCCCATAGTACCATGGGGCTCAGGGGTGTACAAAATACTAGGACATAATAAAAGGGACAATGCCAGTTAATACTTAGAGTGCCAATCACACACCTGTACTGGGCTAGGCATTGTACATGCCTCATCTCATTTATTTACACTACTTGTGTGATCTCAATAAGATTTTGGAAAGTGATGATATAGAGAGGTTAAATGAGTTGCTCAAGGTCACACAGCTAGCAAGCGATGGGTTGAGGGATTTATATCCAGACAGCCTGACTCTTGGATTATAAATGCTAAAACTAAAACCTGGGTCACTTAATTAAGCACACTACAGATCACTGTATTTTCTGATACACGTATACATAACTGCTATTAAGGAAAATAGGAGCTTTAAGGTCAACTTAGAAAAAATAAGTTCCTGAATATTTCTTAAGGCTTTTGTTTAAAATTCTAGTTTCTAGGCTTATTTTTAGCTTTTCATTTGAAATGAAAAATGATAATGAGAAATCACTGGCCAAAAGTTAATAAACTTTTATTTTATAAAGCTAAAAAGGAACTATTCTCTCTTTCTACACTGAAAATACTCATGGTTAGCCTAAGGGGATGTGAGTAACACATATTTCTGTGTAAGCTCAGCTGATCCACTTTCATACCATGCCCATCAGTTTTTATCCAGTACCTTATATACAAGTATTGAAAGTGAGACAAACAAGAAAAATACTGATCTTTTAGAAATGAGGGATGTTGTCTGCATTATTCACTATTGTATCTTCAGTACCTGGCACATAAGTAAATATTAATTAAAGAGATGACTTTTTTCTTCTTTTTTGCATTTTTTTTCCCACTAGACCACCAGGGAGGATGACTTTTTTTTTTTTTTTAAGCTGAAATAACAATAACACTTTTGTAGTATTTCTTCTGGTTAAAAACAAAAAATGGCAGACCACAACTTTTGAAATCAGCTGTAAGGAACTATATATTTGAACTTGACTCTTCAACAAGGTAACTATGTGACTTTGGACAGATTAACCTTTTAGAACTGTTTCCATATTGACAAAATGTGGGTAATAATATCCACTTCGGACTTGTTCTGAGTATCGGATGAGACACTTCCCTGGTGAGGGAGCTGGCACGGGGCAGCTGGGAAGACATACACGCGTCCTTGCTGCAAAGCACAGTCACATAAAGGGAGGTGCCACATAGGTAGATTTAGTCTTTGAGACTTGACTTGGATGAATGAGAAAACCAGGTGGAGAGAGCACCTTCTAGACCTTTTCTGTCTGCAGTCCAGCCTTCACAAAGTTCCCCGAGTAATCCGTCTTTTCTTACAATCCCATCACTGCCCCCGGCCCCCACCTCGCTGCCTTGTTGCCACTTCAGACTGAAGCAAGGACCACGGACTCTGGAGCTTGTCTGCCTGGCTTCCGATTGTGGCTCAGCCACTTGCCAGCTCTCTGTGCCTTAGTTTCCTCAACTTCAAATCAGGTAAATCATAGTATCTACTTCATTTTTGTGAAGATGTTACCAAATGATCCATTTAGAAACATGTCTGACACAGAGTAAACATTCTTTGAATGTTACCAATTATAAGTATTTTTCACCTATCTGAATTTCTCGTTTGTCCACTAAGTCCTTTGCAAAAGATAACTGCCACATATTGGGTTCTCAGTACCAACTCAAAAATATTATAAGAAAAACCCCCATTACCTTCCTGTCAAAATAGTTTCATGGCTTGTAGGATCTGGGCTATGATGACACAATTTTTCATTCACACAAGCTAGAAATATCAAAGAATTTTTTAGTCCTTTCCTCTAGTTCCTATGAAAGTTAGTGTTTTTTCCGTTTTTTCTTTGAAATAACTCTTGCATATCTCTTTCTTTTCATTTCCATTACTAATGCTATAGTTTGGGCCCTTGCTCTTCAGCTCTGAATTCGTACTGATCTCTCAAAGCCATCTGCACACAACTACTATGGTAATCATTTTAACATATTTTCATCATGCAGTTCCCTTGATCAATAAGCTTTCATACTAAATATGAAAGGAATTAGTTACTTATTGGCCCAACACATAAAGTTTTCTCTAATTTAACTAATCCACCCCCAAATCTTCATTCTATGCAAAACAGTTTCTTTTGCCTAATTCCTAGGCATTCATCATTCTTGTCCTCTCCTTTCTTAATTTCAAGAAGACATAATACAGGAGTGATAATCCTTTCTCCTTAGCCATATATTTGACCCATTTTTCTCCTCTAGTCTTTTTTCCACATACCCATGAATTGATTCTTGTTGTGATATAAATTCTGCCCCACAGTATCTTAGAATATCACTACCAGTTTAATACAGTTTAATTTTTTTTTATTTCAGCATATTATGGGGGTACAAATGTTAAGCTTACATATATTGCCCATGCCCCTCAATACAGTTTAATTTTAATAGAGTTGTTAAGTACATAATTTTTTATACCTTTAGTCTCAGTTTCCTAAATAGGAATAGGAATGACATTTCATACTTCAAACTGTATGTTTAAGGAGGAGCTGTTATTTGCCTATTTAAGGAATGAATTCGTTTGATGCTATGATGTATTTGGAAATGTCATACATATGAAAAGTGCTCTATAAAATGTCAAATTATCTTGTTAAACTAACTGAGAAAAAATGCAGCACAGGTTAGGGTAATGGTTGGCCTCCCATAGACAATGCTAATGGAGGTGATCTTCACCAGAAAATCAAGTCCCACTTGGCCATTAAAAATGATACTTGAAATCTCTGAACCTCTCCCACGGAGTTTCATTGCCTCCTTCAAAATAAACATAGTTATTTCCTCACAGTTAAATCTCAGATTCATCCTGACAGGGAAATTCCCTGGAATACAAAAACATTATGAGTAGATTTCTATGAATAAAATGTTTCCCCATATGATTTTGTAATAATTCTAGCACTTGCATGCTGCTATATCCATCACACCAAGCAAACATTTTCCAATGAAACAGCAGAAGGGCCAATCCAAGACATACAATTTTAACTTTAGAAGTTGAATTTCTTTTCTATGTTGTGTAGGAACTAACACAGATGTTTTTTTTAAATATGAAAAGCCTTTTATTTTGGTTGACACACATTCTTATGCCCTTAAATAACACAGAAACAAACAGCAAAATTTTGTTGGATTTCCATCTGTCATCTTTTGTACTAACAGAGATGGGAACCTCAAAGCATGCCAAGGTTCGGACGTGTGTCAGAGGCCTAACTACAAGTGCCAATCAACCTTAAAGGACTTGTGAAAGACCCTTGATAAAGTAGACCAGAAGCTCTGGAACTAACTATTAGAGGTGAAAGGTCAAGGGTTACAACTCTAAGTTATGACGAAGAAGGTAGTTTCAAAGCAGAATTGGAGTTCTTTTATTATGCTGTTTGACTATCACAGGAGTTTTTCATAAAATAGGACAGTTTTAAAATATGACATTTTATTATGGTGTCATGTAACATTAGAGGGAAAACCTTCAAGGAAAAAATTAACTGTAGTAAATATAAAAGGAACTGTGAAGCTTAGAAATGGAATTGATACTATGAAATCTATTTTATGCTCCTGACTAAAATGACCTGTTTTTAATGTGCCAATACCTGGCTCATTAGGTGTCTTTCAAGACACAAAAGAAAGTGTCTTGAATAACATGACTGTGCAATATGATTAAAATAAATTTCTGATACAAAGAGCTTTGTGTAAAATATGTTCAATAGAAAAAATTTTCATTACTAGTGATTCTCCATATCTATATTGGAGTGGGAACAAAACTGAGAAAATTAAGATCTTAATCCATTTTGACATGACCTATATTCCATCCATATGCATATTTGCGAATATGTATGACTTAATGAGATTGAATCATTCCCCATATTCAGCCTCTTCATCACACAATCATTGTTAAACAATCCTTAAATTCTACTGGTAAGTTTTGAAGTTAGTTAATACTCAGCATGAAAAAGGATTATTATAAATAAAATAAATCCCCTAGGCACCTGGCTAAATTTGATAATTCTCTGACTATTTTATACTGAGATAAAAGTGGGCATAACTAAAATAGTTCTGGACTATTATCATATTTTAAGTAAAGAATAGTCATGAATGCCTTATGCTATTGACACTGCATATGTATGTGTATGTTTGGTTTCTTCCTCAAAAGACCTCATGCATTTGTGCAAGATTCAGGGCCTAAAACAAAAGCAAAACAAAAACAAGTAAAGGACAATGTTAGCCAGTATATAATACAGTGTCACACCACCAACGGCATTGGCTATGCCATAGTTGATCATAGAAGACAGTTGAGAAAAGTTTGGCATAGACGTAAAACTTTAATTTGACTTAAAAGAGTAGATTGAAAAGAGGATTTGAACTGTTTCTAACACAAAGAAATAATAAATGCCTAAGGTGATGGATACTCCAATTACCCTGATTGTATGCATATATCAAAATATCACATGTATCCTATAAATATACACAAATACTATGTACCCATAATAATTAAAAATAAGAAAAATTTAAAAAAGAGAATAAGGTAGAATACAAAATAAGGCATAAACTAACACAGCTAATTATGTGCTCGGCAGCTCACCATGAGACTACCATTGCTGGAATATGAATTTTTGTTTGAAATAAGGTTGGATAAGTATAATTGGTCCAGGTTACTGAAGGCCTCAAATAGCAGGAGAAGAAGTTAAAAAATTCTCCAATAGGTAATAAAAAGCAAATTAGATAGAGTAGTAAGATAATCACAGGAAGAAAGTGGTTTGTGAGGACTAACCTGGCAAGAGTTAGGGCAGGTAGTCACGAGTCTCTTACGAAAGTTAAGACATGAAGTAATAAGGCCCTAGTGACAAATGGGGACAGAAAAAAGATACTGAAAGTAATATTTGATATGAAGAATCAAAATTAGAGAGGTTTAATTGAATACAGGGTGAACAGAAGTTGAAAGTCAAAGATGTTCTTTAAGGATTTGAGTCTTATAGAATAAAAAAAGTTGGTGGTACTATTTACACATGTTGGGTAGATTAAACAAAATGTCCCTCTATCATTAACACAATATATGTCAACCTTGGGCTTTGGAAACGGTGTCAGAATATTGGCACCTGATGTGAATTAGATCCTCTGCAGAGTCTGCATTTCCTCTTTTAAGACAGGATGCACAGACCTTTGCAAGTGAAGGTGCAAGCCCCAAAACTTGGAAAACATTGGTTCTTGTATTTGGACATCTTTGGCATTCAAGGTCAGTTTTGTAGACAATTACAAAATTCTACAAATAAATGGATAATAACTTGGTTTAATATTACAGAATCTATAACCAAATCACCAAATTAGGGTTGTTTGTATCTTTCTATTAATTCCCTTTAAAATATGAGGAATTCTTTTCAATATTTTCTACTCACATATAGTAACTTAATTCAGAATTTCCACCAGTGGAATATTTATTTGAATCATCCCTGAAACAAAGAGACAGCAAGAACAGTGGACAGAGAACTAGAGACCTCCTAGTTAATAACCTTGCTGCAATAAGTTCTACAGAATCTTAGACTTCTTATCTATAACATGAAACGATTGTACCAGAGCTCTAGAGTGCCTTCCAACAATATGGTTCTATGAAAAGCAAAAGAAAATAACTTCCTAACTAAATGAACACACCTGCTCTCTAGTACCTAAAAAAGTAGTAACCCTAGGTCCATCAAAGTGAATACAAGAATGCCAGTCAAGTCCATAGATGGCACATCACACAGGCAAGCACATTAAGTGGGTATCATATCAGCAACCGCTGCCTTGAGGAAGTGAAGGGTAGAAGGAGAGCGATGGTGCATCACATGCAATGGTGAGGAGGTCAGCCAGCGCCCAGAGTTCTACTGGCCTTTCAAAACCGTGGCAAGAACTCAGGAGTGGTAATGAATGAGAGCAACATGCCCTGCCCCTTTCAGGCTCCGCTAAACCCGTGGACTGATGGCTGCAGCTGAGAAATTCCAAAGGGATTGAGGAGGGGAAGTGCCCAGGGCATGATGCAGGCGCACAAATCCCCCCGGAGTCCTAATCATTCTCCTGAGTACACATGCTCACGAGGCACAGGTGCTTGGTCTCGCCACACGCTCGGCCTCCCTCGTGAAGAAACAGAGGGACTGACTGTCTGGGAGGAGGAACACTCCTGCCCGGTCGCAGCACAAGTCGTGACAAATCAACAGCCAGTCTTTGCTCAGTCATGTCCATTCTAATCTGACCAGATCAGCTCTACGCTCCAGAAGAGTGTGGAGACTGTCTTCTATGGTTATCCAACAGAAACATTCTGTTGTGTTTGTGGTGCTATAAAATATTGATGCAGTAACCCAAAGAACACCAGATGACTTGCAAAAACCTTTTCTGTGTTTTATCTGTTTGTGTGTTTAAAGACTAAATTTCTTCTCCCTTAATTCTATTCTATTAGATGAACAACCAAAAATATCTAATATTAATTTAGA